CCCGCGCCGCGCCGGGGGCGGAGCCTGGCCGGGGTGGGGAGACCCGGGGGCGCGGAGCGCGGGGGTGCGAGCGCAGGCACAGGGGCTGTGCACAGCTGTAGGGGTGTGCACAGGCACACACGGGTGTGCGCAGCCATAGGAGGATGTGCACAAGCACAGAGGGGTGTGCGCAGGCACAGGGGTGTGTATACAAGCCCACACGGGTGTGCACAAGCAGAGAGGGGTGTGCACAGCCATAGGAGGATGTGCACAAGCACAGAGGGGTGTGCACAGGCACAGGGGGGTGTGCACAAGCACGCAGGGGTGTGAGCACCGGCACACAGGGCTGTAAACACGAGCAAAGAGGGGTGTGCACAGCTACAGGGGGTGTGCACAAGCATAGAGGGGTGTGCACAGCTACAGCGGGGTGTGCACAAGCACAGGGGTGCGTGGACAAGCACACAGGGGTGTGCACAGCTACAGGGGGGGTGCACAAGCACAGAGGGGTGTGCACAGCTACAGGGGTGTGAGCACAGGCACGGAGGGGTGTGCACAGGCACAGAGGAGTGTGCACAAGCATAGAGGGGTGTGCATAGGCCCAGACAGGTGAGCACACGGAGGTGTGAGCACAAGCACAGGGGTGTGCACACACAGACACCTGCCCAGATGTGGCTGTGCGCCCCAGCGGATGCACCCCCACGCAGCGCTGCGTTCACACACGCACAGAAGGGGTGCGCACAGACATGTGCGCACGCAGGGCCGCGTGCCCGCACACCCATGTGCAAGCGTGTGCTCACACGCATGCACCTGTGCTCGTCCCATGCCGGGGTGCAGGGTGAGAAGTGAGCAGCTACAGCAGCCGTACATGCGCTTGTACACACATGGGTGTGTGCGATGAGAAGGGGACACAGGCAAGCCCGTGCCTTGCAGGCAGGGCCTGACCCCGCACCTCCTTGAGGCTGCTGAAGTGGGCTGTTAACTCTTAAACCTACTGATGCACAGCACCACTGGCAAGAGCGCAGCTCAGGAAGCCACATCCCTGTGAACCTCGTCCTCCTCCGTCAGCTCCGCAAACCCGAGGCAGGGATTGATAATTCACGGGCCCCGGCGCTTTCCCCAGCCAACCAGCGGCCCTATTGATTTTTATTTAGACAAATAATTAAGTATTTATTTTCACTTTGTTAAGCTCAGGAGGTCGGAGCCCACAGAAAGCACAACAGCATGCGGGCGGCAGGAAAATCAATGCCTCGGTTTGCGGCCGCTGGAGCGGCTCCCCCGCCCCCGGTCCCCGGGGGGGGCCCCGGCTCCTGCGCCCGCGTTCCAGGTGGGTGTCACCGTCCCCCCCTGCCAGCTCACCCCGACCCCCTGGTGTCACTTACCCCCGGCAGCGTCTTCTGCTCGTGCAGGGCGCTCTGCGCCTTCAGGGCCGAGTCGCGGGCGCAGTAGGTGAGGAAGGCACAGCCTGCGGAGACGGGGAGACAGGGTCAGTGTCCAGCCCGGCACCGCCGCAAAGCTCCGGGCACGTGGAGAGCCGGCGGCATGGCTAATGGCGCTGGGGCGCGTCTCGGCACCCTGGCACCCAGCACCCTGGTACCCTGGCACACAGCACTCTGGCACCCCGGCACCATGGCATCCTGGCATCCAGGACCCTGGCACCCTGGCACCCAGCACCCCGGCACCCTAGCATCCAGCACCCCAGCACCCAGGTGGCACCGCCGCCAGCGGGGCCAGAGCTCAGCCCCGAAACGGGGTGGGAGATCTCCATACAGAAGAGACAGAGCAGTGGGATGAAGGAAGGAGCAAGGCAAGAGCAGGCAGCGAGTCTGGCAGCGCACGGGCAGTGGCGCTCTGGCCCCAGGCTCCAGGGAAAACTGCAGCCCAAGCCCTCTGGGAAGCGGATCTCCAGGCGTCGAGGCCGCGCATCCCGGCTTGCCGCCACGCTTCTCCCGGCCCCGAGCATCCTCCTTGGGATGAGACTCGCGTGGCAAAGGTGCTCCGGCTCCTCCGACATCACGGTGCTTTGGGAATCAGGAATACGCCTGGGGCGAGGTTTTCCCACGCTGACTCACGCTGCCGAGCCGCTCGCTTGCTCGCCTGGAGCTT